TCTTCAGGTTAACCCTTCACAAATATGAGTAAGACAAAAAAGAAATGGATTGTTGCTTGTGAAATTATTTGGGATTTTTATTTTTTATGGGTGATCAAATGTATAATTTTCTAAAAGCGACATTGTTTCATTTCACTTTGGAACAATCCTAGTGTCATATAATAAGTTAATTAACTAAAATATGTTGTAATCCATGCTATTCGAAAAAAAATATACTACAGTTCGAAAGTTTGGGATCGGTTTTATTTTATTTTTTAATGAGTCTCTCATGCTCACATTTATTTATGAAAATACAGTAAAAACAGTAGTATTGTGAAATATTTTTACAATTTAAAATAACTGTTTTCTATTTAAATATATTTTAAAATATTTCTATGATGGCAAAGCTGAATTTTCAGCATCATTATGCCAGTATTCAGTGTCACATGATTCTTGAGAAATCATTCTAATATGATGATTTGCTTCTCAAGAAACATTTCTTGTTTTTGAAAACATTTATTTTCTTATGTTGAAAACAGATGTGTTGCTTAATATTATTGTGGAAACCATGATACTTTTTTTCAAGATTATTTGATAAATAGAAAGTTCAAAAGAATATATATATATATATATATATATATATATATATAGTCCTTACTGAATTCATTTCTTTAAATCTTTTTTACCTTAGTTACCCCAAACATTTGAACAGTAGTATATAATATAACTATATATACCTTATATATATATATATATATATATATATATATATATATAATTATTTTCCTTTTTTTGTGGTAGTCTTTGACATTTTTTTTGTCCTCTAATCTGTTTCTCTTCTCTGGCTTTCCCTCTCTTTCATCTCCTGTCCTGTGTGATTCCTCCTCTTCCTCCTGCTTCCTCTGCAGGTCGCTCTTCACTGTTTCCTTTCGAGGACGGCTTCTTGGACGAGGGTCACGGGGATCCAGCGCTGACCCCTGGCCTGAGCTCTCCCAGCCGCTGTCAGAACGGAGAGAGGATGGAGCGCTACTCCAGGAAGGTGTTTGTCGGTGGACTGCCGCCTGACATCGATGAAGGTACGGGACTCACACACGACTCAGTGCTGAGCTTGAGTTGGGAGGGTATATCAATTCTTTAATGAAAAATTGTCTTCAAGATGCAGTATCATTAATAAAACATGATAGAGATTAAATTGTACCTGCATCTGCTTACATATACAGTGTTTTTTGTTTGTGCTATGTATCTGTTTTAGGGTTATTATCAGCAACTAAAAGTAAAACTATTAAAATATGTTTGTTAAAATAAAAAAGTTAACATGAATAAGTGATGCTGAAATAAAATAAGATGTACATTTTAGATGATTTACAAATTCTTAGTTATTTACAAATTTACAAAAGAGCTAAAATCACTAACTTAAAATTATCAAATTAAAAACTAATACGGAAATGAAAATAAAAATAAATTAAACCTAAGTAGTAATGATTAAAAAAAATGTAATCAAAGGTACATAGCAAAATGACTACAAAGGTAACTTAAATTAAAATGAAAACAAACTATAAAAAAGCATTCGAAATATGAATAAAAACTATAATGTGGAAAATTTGTTCATTTACAACAACCACTGACCCATAGTATATTTACAGATTATATCTAAAGATTATACTGACTAGTGGGTTATGCGCTTTTGGCCACTTAGCAACCACACAGAACACCTTAGCAACTGCACGAGACACTGAAAAAAAAACTAAAAATGTGATTCATGGCAAATACTTTTTTTAAGTCCCCAGCATTGTTATTTGGAGGGGTTTCAGTAACTGATTGAAACATTTACAATGTTTGGAATCCATATTTTCGGTCCAAATACTTTCCATTTTTCCTACAGATGAAATCACCAACAGTTTCCGTCGCTACGGTCACCTGGTGGTGGACTGGCCTCATAAAGCAGAAAGCAAATCCTATTTTCCTCCTAAAGGTAATGACATTACTGACATCATCTCTCCTGTGGCACTAATACAGCTGCAAATGTTTAACAAATCAGTGACAGAATTACTCTCCTCGATGCCGTCTGCGTTTGAGAACTGAAAGTATGACATCACAGTCGGCATTTACCTAAATGAGTCTATCGTGTGGATGCTGTTCAGAGCATCGGAAGCTGTTGTGTTTTTTGCGTCAGATTGGTCTGTTAGTTCATAGGGCCTCCAGGTGTTCATTTCTATGGCTTGAACAGATGCACACAGACAAGTACTTACAGATACACACCTAGAGGGAGAGACTAACTGCATTTCATCACGTAAGCTGACAGAGTTTGATTGGACAGGCACAGGGACATATATCGTTGAAACTTTGAACAATGTATATATCTTTTTATTATTTACCATACAATATATTGTTTATATAAATATATATTGTAGGATATAGTTTCATTACATGTAGAATTTGTACATATGTGGTAAGGAAATACAGATTTCTTTCAATCTTTTACTTTTTTTTATCACATTACTTACATGAAGATTAAGATTCTGTAACACTTTATTTTAAGGTGACGTTGTTGCATGATACTGTACTTACTATAGTAATGACAATAAATAATGCATAATTACAAGTAACTAACCCTAAACCAAACCATAACCGTAACTCTATTAATTTACATGTTAATTAATATTACTCAGTACTTAGTAACTGTCAACTTAAAAATAAAGAGTAACCAAAGATGTTATCAATGTTTCAATTGTATTTATTATTTACCATATAATATATACAGTATATATATATATATATATATATATATATATATATATATACTGTATATTATATTTGTGTTCTCCCTCTCAATCTTTCATTTATTAAATATCTGAATTCATTTAATTAAGTCCTGTGCACTGAGCTGTAACTGTAATGAAAATTTCCGGTTGGACTACTATAAAATATTGTGACAAAAGGGGATGCTAAAATTTTATTGGAGCATTACAGTGAATAATTGCTTGTTGTGTAAGCTGCTTATGCAGTTTCTGTAAATATTGCAACTAGTAACTCATTTTCATGGTCACACTTCTCACTATTACTACTTTTGCATCAATAAACTTCTAATCACTGCTTATTAGTTAGTAAGGTAGTTGTTAAGTTTAGGTATTGTTAGGATCATGTGACACTAAATACTAGAGTAATGATGCTGAAAATTCAGCTTTGCCATCATAGAAATATTTTAAAATATATTTAAATAGAAGTTATTTTAAATTGTAAAAATATTTCACAATACTACTGTTTTTACTGTATTTTCATAAATAAATGTGAGCATCAGAGACTCATTTAAAAAAAAAATAATAATAAAAAAAAATAATTGGACCCTAAATTAAAGTGTTACCCTTTTTTCTAGTTTGGTTATAGTGGCTTATTTTTCAATCTTACAAATTGTATGCATTTCATAATAAATGATCAAAGCAATAACTTAATTTTGCTGATCTCAATGTGATATTAAATAAATGTCACTCTTTTTGATATTTTGTTAAGTAATGCAATGATTTCACACACTAAGATCGGCTGAGAGGCCTGTATTTTTCTTCATTTATTAGATCTGTGCTCTGTACAATGATCGGCACTTGTGGATTTTATATATTTGGACTCGTGTAGTCTTCATGCCTTGGCCGTCCTGTCACTGTGTGTAACTGATTTTTGTAGATGTGCTCATTGTTCCTCCAGCTCATATGAAACACTGATCCAGACTGAGTGAATGGAAGATGCTGGTCATTTTTCCATCCAGTGTTGTGTAAAAGCATCATGACTCACAGTGTGCTGGACTGAGGTCAGCGCTGAGGCTCAAAACACGTTAAATAGCATTAAATGCCTTCATGAAGCTGTCATACGCTTATCATTAACACTGAGATTTATTGAAGAGCTCCTTCTGTTCAGAGAACAGGATGGAAACTCACTGTCAAGGGACAGTTCACCCAAAAAGGTCAATTCTGTCATCATTTACTCATCCTCAAGTTCCAAACCTGTATGAGTTTCTTCTTCTGTTTAACACAAAAGATAATCTTTTAAAGAATTTATGTCAACAAACACCTTCAGGAGCCATTGACTTCCATAATAATAAAAAAAAATACCAAGTAAGTCAATGGCTACTATCAGCTGTCATATCTTCTTTTGTGTTCAACAGAAGAAAGAAACTCATACAGGTTTGGAACAGCTTGAGGGTGAGTAAATGATGACAGAATTTACATTTTTGGGTGAACTGTCCCTTTAAGTCAAGGTTTAGCTGGTTAACATGGTCCAGTTCGCCCCTGCTGGTAGATGAAAGAATTACACCATCAAAACAAAAAGCATTGTTCTCTACTGAATGACTTCAGAAGTCGAAGTGCATTATTATAATGAATACATTTTTTTTTGTAGATATTTAAAAAAAATATATAAGAATAAAATATAAAATATTTGAATGACAATAATAATATATATAATAAATACATTATAATATATTTATATATATATAATATAATATAAAATATATGAATGATAACAATAATAAATAATATGTTTAAATATATTTTAAAATGTAATATTTTTTAATCATAAATAATCCCTAATTGAGTAGAATAATCCAATCTGAATATTTTTGATAGCGTATATTTCTGGTATATGGTCTCAATCTGTGGAGGTAAAACCTCTGGCTCTAATAAATCTGATGCTTGTGCATGAATCTCTCCGAACTTTCTTTTGATCTCCTTTGATTCACTTTCCCAAGGTTGTTAATATTTCTCTCTCCTTTCGGCTGCCTCTTACACTCTTTCTTTCCCTGAGGCGGAACGCCTTGTTCTTTTTTCTTCCTTCTGGTCTTTCTGCTGGCTCTGATCCTGATGTTCTCATACTGCAGTGTTATAGTGTAAAATCACTGTCAGAAGGATTTGAGAACCGGTGGACATCATGAATTCACAGACAGATAGCATATATGCTCTTGAAAGCAGCCTAAATGCATGTTTAGGCTCAGAACAGTGAAAGGAAAACTACATAATGACTTTATTTATTTAGAGTATAAAAGTCATAATCCTCGTCCTAAAATTCATGATATAAAAACAGCAAATGTTATAAAACTGCATTGGAGACAGAGACCGACTGGATTCCTTATTCTTGATGTCAAAGACTGCATCTTGTTGCAGACAGAATTTGCTTAAAAAATATTGTTTAATAAAAAATTGTGACTGTAATATTTAATTTATGCCCGTGACAGTAGCTGTAATGTGAAATAAATGTGACCGTGGCAAGTTTAGGATTCAATTTTCCCAGTGTTCTGTCTTTTGACATTTCAGCTACAGAAAGCATTCTCAGATCTGTCCTGATTTCACCTCCGCATAACTCCGCCCACCCCCCCCCCCCCCCCTCTCAATAATGCCCTTCCCAAATGCCCAGTTCTGTCCGTAGCTACAGGCCTGTGAGTGATAGAAGAAATTAGATCGAGTCTGAGATTATTTAATCTTCCTACTTACACTCCTGCTGTTGTTAGTTAGAGACAGATACACATGCGCACTTCTGTCTCTGCCGCCTGCAGTGTTTATGTGCTTTCCGTGAGTCTTTTGAACCTCTCGGTTAGATCACTGTTGGTCTGCAGCCAGAGAATGTCTCATCCCTTGTGCTCTTCTTCTGCAGGTTATGCTTTCCTGCTCTTCCAGGAGGAGAGTTCGGTCCAGGCCCTCATTGACGCCTGCATCGAGGAGGATGGGAAACTCTACCTGTGTGTCTCGAGTCCCACTATTAAAGATAAACCAGTGAGTGAAGCACTGACACAGCTCAGAGTGATCTGTCATTACCAGCTTATCTAGACTAAAGAGAAGACTAGGATAGATTCAGACTATGGTAGATTTCTAAATAATGCTTGAGTTATAATAATCTTTCTGTCTGTCTATCTATCCGTCTATCTATCTATATGTCTGTCTGTACAAAATGTATATATATTTATGTAAAATATGCAATACATGTGTATGTGTAAATGTTAACACACACACACACACACGCATATTATACAATCTATGTATGTGAAATATAATAAATTAATATCTGTTTTATATATATAAAAATAACATTTTTATTTAAAATGATTAATATATGTATTTCAAGTTTAAATGAGTGAATAATATATATATATATATATATATATATATATATATATATATATGAAGAGCAAAAGTGCTCTAAAAGCAATATTCTCCTGGAATGATCATTTTTATCAAGCTTTTATATTTAAATTCAGTAATTTCACTTAAATTGGAATGAAGATTACCTATTAATTGTCATTTAAGTGAAATTACTGAACTTACTGAAATTACTGAAGCTTGATAAAAATTATCATTCTAGAAGAAAATTTCAAATGGCACTTTTGCTTTTACGTCTGAACTCTTCATCTATATTGTTATACTGTTCAAATATATACATATATAAATTCAAAATGAACTGATAAATAATAAGCTAATAATATAATTGACCTTTTTTTTATATACAGTATTAGACCAAGGTCAAAGTAAATGAAGAGAATTCTTTTTCAGAGTTCAAATCAGGTTTAAATTCACATTAAAATCACAGAGAGATTTACCCAAATTTATTCAACCTCCTTAGAGAAGACTGGTTTGATCCTGCTTGGGCTAAAACAAGCGTCCTACATTGAATTTCTTTTACAGATCAACTGTTTTTCCTCCTCAGGTCCAGATTCGCCCGTGGAACCTGAGTGACAGTGATTTCGTGATGGACGGCTCTCAGCCTCTTGACCCACGCAAAACCATCTTTGTGGGAGGCGTTCCACGACCTCTACGTGCAGGTGACTCTCTCTCTCTCTCTCATACTTTTTCACAGACATTTGCAAGTGTAGTTTCCTCCCAAATATCAAATACAACATCATTAACATCTTGTGGATCAACATCATACTGTGCATAATGCTGTGTTTCTCCTGTGTGTGTTTAGTGGAGCTGGCTATGATCATGGACCGACTGTATGGAGGTGTGTGTTACGCTGGCATTGACACTGACCCAGAACTCAAATACCCCAAAGGGGCGGGCAGAGTGGCCTTCTCCAATCAGCAGAGCTACATCGCTGCCATCAGCGCCAGATTCGTCCAGCTGCAGCATAATGACATTGACAAACGGGTGAGTGAGCTCATATAACAGCCGCCAGAATCACAGCGAACTCTCCAATGCTTCTCATTATACACACTGCAGGAACAGCAAAACTGAACGCAGTACTAACTTAAGATCAGACTTTTGCATTAATATCTATGATTGAAGCATCAAGCCACAGCAAAACATCAAGCCACGTCAAACTATTTGAACTCGGACGCCGTTTGACCTTTCGTAAAGCAGCCAGGGTTTACCAGACAGTTTGCATTGAAATACAATGCTCTGCTTAATAACGGGGACATTATAAAAAAGGAGCAGAACTCTATGAATGCCGCATTGACTAGACTAGTGTCGGAAGAGTTTTTTGTACTGTACTTTTATAATGTGATTGAATAGTGTCCGTTTCTGTAGCGTGGTTTTCCTGTAGGCTAGTTTCCATACAGACTGTGTTTACCCCAGAGCAGACTGTGTGTAATCAACATGACCATGGGCATCTGGAGGCCTGACAGACATTTGAAGTCTCAGACGTGGCCTTTGTTAATTATAGATCCATGCTATTTCTGCACACATATGTACACACTGGAGTTACTGGGAATGTTATTCAGAAGTAAATAGCTGATGGTCACTGGACTAAAACTGCATGATCCCAGAATCACCCCTTCCATCAATATGCAACATTATCAATTTTTTTGTTTGTTTGTTTACATTGTGCCGTTAATGTAAATGTGAATTTACCTACTGATCCCAAACTATATATAAAAATCTGGGATTGCTATTTAAAAAAAATAGTATTATAAGCTCAACAAGGCTGTATTTGTTTAGTCAAAAACATTATGAAATATTATTTCGATTTAAAATAACCATGTTCTATTTAAATACATTTTAAAATTGCAATTCATTTGTATGTGTTATTTTAGTATCATTGATATACTATTATAGTTTATATTCATAGTTTGAATACATTTTTATTTTAAAAGGTTTTCCATTTGTTTTGTTGTGTTTTTTAATGTCTATATAGTTTATATTAATATATTTTATTTTTGTTTATTTTAATTATTTCAGTACATCAAGTTAAACTACGAAAATGAGAGACGTTTCCTTTTTAGTTTTTAAGGTTTCTTTAAAATACAGTTTTAATATTTGTGTTTATTTCAGTTAACCTTAAATGTATTTCAAGTAGTGCTGTCAATCAATTAAAAAACGAATTAACCAATTAATCACACATAATAAAACAACTAATTAATCGCATATTTTTCCGTAATTAATTGCACCTAACATTAACCTTTATTATATTGTAATAATTTCACGTTTAAACTAAATTTTTTTTCCTCAATTTTAGCCATTCAGCATTACAATATAACCTCCCACATATTACAGTTTTTACGCACATCCCATTTTATCACAACTCTTAATTTAGGACTTCATTTTACTCATTTAATAATAAATACTAAATACTTGACAAAAAAAAAAGCATTTCGGCATAATCTGTGTGTTTTTGTAAAATCAAGCCCTGTAAGAAGCGGCGTTCTGTTCGCACGAGTGTGTTTCAATTTCAAGTAACAAAAATGGGTTGCACTTTATTTTCCAATATGTGTACTTAAACTGGGTAATTAAGGTAACCACATGGGTTAAGGTTACGTTTAGGGGTAGGTTCAGGGTAAGTACCTAGTTATTACAATTACTCTAATAAGTACATTACATGGGAAACAGGACTGTAAAATAAAGTGCTACCTAAAAATGTTATTTTCATGGTTTAAATATTTAGCTGACTTTAATAACCCAGCTGTGTATAAGTGCTCTTTCTGCCTGTGTCTGCAGGTGGAGGTGAAACCGTACGTGCTGGACGATCAGATGTGTGATGAATGTCAGGGCGCTCGCTGCGGAGGAAAATTCGCCCCTTTTTTCTGTGCCAACGTCACCTGTCTGCAGTATTACTGCGAGTACTGCTGGGCGAGCATCCACTCGCGCGCCGGCCGTGAGTTCCACAAACCGCTGGTGAAGGAAGGTGGAGACCGACCTCGACACGTGTCCTTCCGCTGGAGCTGATGACGAGCGGCACATCACCCTCTCCACCCAACAAACACCTTCAACACCATTACCAGTAACCACTCACGGATCACCCCTTTTACAAAACAAATATCATGATATCTCTGTCAAGTATACTCTCTGCTTACGAACATTTAGGAAAATATGAATTGTGAGTCTGCGCGCTCAAACGTTGCACTTTGGCACAAACAGTCGATGTTAACGCTTATCAGGATGTTGTGCTTTAATTCTCTCGTTTTCCTGCGTTTGATCGGTTTAGTCCTCCATATAGGTAACATTAGGCAGTGTGAGACAATATATACAGTATATAATATATACATTTACAAAAAGGATATATTTTTATTTTATATGTATCTATATACACATAGATAATACATTTTGGGTGTCAGACTTTTTAAAGGAGCATGCACTTATTGTGATAAAAGAGTGATAGGAAATTCTCCTTTAGATGATAAAAAAAAAAAAAAAAAGAATTACCAAAGGTAAAATTGAATTCATTAAGCAAATCATGTCAGGTGAGCTGTTAAAAAACACCCAAGGTATTCAAGTAAACAACCATTTGCTCTCCATGTTGAAATGAATAGTAATACCTCATGCATGCATCTCTTTTCGTTCGCTCCGACTTTTTAGGCTTACATTTTTTTACGAGTTTTTTGGTATTATCAACATGTAATGCTGCAATAGCTTTGCTGCTAAATCTCTGGTATGAACCCATACCATCATACTTTATTCAGGCGAACGAGCGCTCCGAGGGGTCTGCACCGAAACTGCATGTAAACGAATCTGCGATGCATGCTGTAGAATCGGGCATCACTTTCATTTCCCCACAAGATCGGCCAGGTGACCGTGCTGCGGAGCTCTTCAGGACACGTGGTGATGGGGAAACATATAAGATGGGAGGGAAAATTACGTCTCGATGCATTTGCGTCCGCTTGCAAAAATTTTGTTCCCTCAGAAAAGTATTGCGTTTCCCTCAATAAACTTTGCATTCTCTCACAAAAGTATTACGTTCACATTTGCGTTTGCTTGAAAAACATTTTCGGTCGCTCATAAAACAATTGCGTTTGATTGAAAAATATTTTTGTTCGCTCACGAAAGATTTGCGTTACTCGAAAAACATTAGCTTTCTCTCAAAAAACATTTTCGTTAACTTGCGAAACATTTGGGTTTGTTCAAAAAACATTTACGTTTGCTCACAAAACATTTACATTCATTTCCAAAACATTAGCATTCACTCACAAAACATTTGCTTTGCTTGAAAACATTTACATTAATTCGCAAAACATTTGCGTCTGCTCAAGACACTTTTTGTTTGCCCTCAAAATATTTGCTCTTGTTCAAGTAGCATTTGCATTCTGACGCAAAACATTTGCGTTTGCTCAAAAAAACATTAGCATTTGCTCACGAAACATTTGCGTTTGCTCAAAAAACATTAGCGTTAGCTTGCGAAACATTTGCGTCTTGTTAAAATCTTTGTTCTATCGCAAAACATTTGCGTTTGCTCAAAAAACATTAGCATTTGCTCGCAAAACATTTGCGTTTGCTCAAAAAACATAAGCGTTTGCTTGCCCAACATTTGTGTCTTCTTAAAATGTTTGTTCTATCGCAAAACATTTGCGTTTGCTCAAAAAACAGCAGTTGCTCGCAAAACTTTTGCGTTTCATCAAAAAATATTAGCGTTAGCTTGCAAAACTTTTGCGTTTGCTCAAAAACCTTAGCAATTGCTCGCAAAACATTTGCGTTTGCTCAAAAAACATTAGTGTTAGCTTGCGAAACATTTGTCTTGCGAAAGTCTTTGTTCTATCACAAAACATTTGCGTTTGAAAAATTTTTTGTTCTATCGCAAAACATTTGCGTTTGCTCAAAAAACATTAGCGTTAGCTTGCGAAACATTTGCGTCTTCTTGAAATGTTTGTTCTATCTCAAAACATTTGCGTTTGCTCAATAACATTAGTGTTCGCTTGCGTAACATTTGCGTCTGCTCAAAATGTTTGTTCTATCGCAAAAACTTTGCACTAAACACAAAAGCGTTTTCCTCCCATCTCATTGTTTTACCATCACCATGTCCCTATAGGGTCTCCATACAGAACCGCAGTGGTGTTTCAAACCAGTTAGATGTAGAAAATCTTCTAGCAAAATGTCTTCAACAGGTGAAGCATTTCTTTGCAATGGTTGTTCATAGAATTGTGCAATTTTTATACACTATGTAGTTCAGTTAGACGACGCCTAGAACTGTGATTCGCTTTAACTGTTATTGATGTCTGACATGGAACGTCCTGTGAAACTAGCGTATGTAAACATACGGTCCCTTCTTTCGCACACTTCTGCTAGTTGTTAGCCCTCGACACACGTCCCGTCAGAACCAAAGAGTCCGGCTCAAAATGACCAATAACACTACGTTACACGCCAACGAATCACAATACTGTGTCCGACCGGTGACTCCGGGAGAATAAGCGAACACTGGCTCCGAACCCAACTTTGAGATACGGCGGGCGGAATAACCTTGAGTGACCGCTGCATTTATATCCAGATTATCCTGCGAAGCTTGAAGTAGAATCATGACCTGCTAATGTCGACGGTGGACATTTTTAAACTAAATTCAGAAAGGTAGAGAGGGTGGAGAGGAGCACAACGCAAGAAATGCGTCTTGGCTGCTTATCTGAGAGAAAAAAAAACGGTCGGCTTTAGGGCGGCACGTTTAGTTAAAAAAAAAAAAAAAATAAAACGACGTATGCGAACACTGCTTTTGTACCGATGGAGAAACAGAGGATTGTGGGTAACCTTGATCCTGATGATGGTGAATTCTGGGTGTCTTTGTGATATTTCTTTCCCTTGCCCAGATTTTTCTATGTTTGTTCCTTCTCTGTAGTAGATAATATTTGTTATGCACTACTCTTTGTATCTGGATGGTTGAACAGTCAGCGTTGTTGTTGGGTTTTTTTTCGTTACTTTTTTAATAGAAAAATATGTGTGCTTTCTGACTGACGTAATCTTTTGCAATACCTCAATTTTGAAATATTATAGGAGAGAGATTGATATTTTCTAAGTAAGTTTATTCAAATAAAGACTATATATATATTAATTTAATTCTGCTAGAGAAAAAAAATGATTTAACAGATGCTTAATTTTATTTTTGTCATGCTTATTTGCTTTTAATTTTATTTTTGGAAAAAAATTAAAATCAAAAACAACTGAAGGAGCTGTATTATTTGAATACTGTAGGAAGCTGAAGTACAGACGCAACATCACAGTGTTCCACAAATATCTGATCTTATTAATAGTATAATATATTTGATTTAAATATATATATTCTATAGGGTCAACTGGCCGTCAGGTGCTTATAAAGTCAACTGAACATACTACTTACGTTTTTATATATTTACAAGCAGTCCTTTACTATGCTGACCAGAGTTGTGAAATCTTCTGTTCATTATTTTTTTATGTTTCGTGAAATGATGTGTTCCCCTTTGTTTTGTAAAAGCGCACATGCAACTTATATAATTTAGGGAAAACAACATTTTTATTATGCTTTTTGGCAAGATGAAGAGAAAACCATGTTCATTTTGGAAAGCTGGAAAGATATGAAACGTTTCAACTTGATGGAAAGCCTTCTACTCACCCAAGACTTGAATTAGTCCCTTTTTTAAAGGCTGAGAACCTCGATTCTTTGTTGTAATGTGCAATACTGTTTGTACTGTTTGTAAAAAAAAAAGATAAAAAAGAACTGAAAAAGAGGCATATATCTTTATTGCAGATTTATTTTCATTGCAAGCATTGTGATTCACTAAAATCATTTTCTACTGTGTATTTACTCGACATGCTAGTACCTTCCAGTAGTAATGTAGCCTTTGTATGGAGAAATTTTTTCATTATTTTTTAGAGATTTTTTGCATAAAAAGAAAAAAAAGAGACTAGAATTAAAACACATTTACATATTTTTCATCATTTTTTTTAATTGTGTTTTCGTTACACTAATTCCTCAACCATTAATGTTAGCTATTTCTGGGAGAGACTTTCATGTCTGGTCAATGTCATTATTATTTTGTATTTTTACTTGGAATAAATTAATTGTATGGCGCTAATTCTTTTATTTCTTTTTTAAGCTAAAAACATTTGTAATATTGTTGCTAAAATGTCTAGAATTTTTTTAAGCAAAGCTTGTCAGTTCTGTTGCTTACAATAGTGTAATTGGGACAAAAAAATTGCACACAAAAATTAACACAATCATGGATGGTCATATGTGATTGAAATGTAACAATGAATGGGCAATACAAAAAAAAAACAATGGCAGAATGGAGCAAATGTGAAGTTGTTGTGGTGAAACCCAGTCAAAACCAGATGAAAAAAATTATATGGAGCTCTAGCTCCACATTCACTGTCAGAACACAGCGTGTGTGTGTGTGTGTCTAATTGACATGTTTCCGAGAATGCATTTTATTTATGAGCAGAGAGTAGTGAAGTAGTTGACTTGTCACTTTAAACTAATTTAAGACTCACCGTATCTACACCAGACGCGACGAAAGCAGACGGAAGCCATTCGAATAACGATGCTTTCTACACCGGATGCCGCGCGAAGTTTTTTTTTTTTTTTTTTGCGAAGTGACTCGACAAATTCCACGTTCTCTGACGTACTTCAAGCGCTCGCGATACTTCAGACGTCAAATAACGGATTAGCAAGAGTCGCGTCCAGCGTAGAGACGCCATTTCCTCGTTTTCATTCAAAGCATCATCCGTGTTTTTTCTTTGTTGCAATCAAATAAAGCCCATTATAAACTGTGCTGTACAGTCATAAAACGAACTGTATTTAGTGAGGATTAGTATCTAATCATGTCATTTTGGCTTATTTTTCTCTTCTGCTACACGTTTAGCTCCATGTGTCATTTAATTTTAAAAAAGTTAATTTTTCCTAATGGAGTTTAACTTCTAATTTCATATTTCACATCTGGAATTGAGATTAACTTGGACCTCTGCTTGTCTAACTTTGCAGTAAAACTGTGATTATTAAAGGTTTTTTTGTGTGTGTGGGATAAAATAAACGCAGTGCTGCTAATGCTTACTAGCTTTCCCACCTTCATGATTTTTCCCTTTTCTGTACTAAACTGCAAATCTTATTAAATGTAATTATATGGACACTGTGAAACGCTGTCATCTTTTGCGGTCTCATTCTCTCGTAAATATTCACTGCTGAAATACAATCATACAAACCAACCACAACACATTTTGACCCAATCTTTTCCCTGACACTATTCACTACTAATTTTTATCCTGCGAAGCTTGAAGTAGAATCATGACCTGCTAATGTCGACGTAGTCGTAAAGCTGAGTAAAGCTGTGAATTATGCACTAAAGACAGTAATGTTCTATAAAACCAGTGCCATGTGTGTCTCTGGCATCTAATAATGGTTACTAATTAGCATCTTTACACCCACTGCATTAGAAAACTAGCATTTTTCAAAATTAGCACAAAAAAGTTATCGAAAAATAGATCTTTATATATATATATATATATATATAGAGAGAGAGAGAGAGAGAGAGAGAGAGAGGACCAGATGGATTGTCTTGCCATTTTAAGCCTAAAAAAAAAAAGATTATACATGCACCCGTCTACTCTGTACAACATAGCTAAACCAGATATAATAAAGTATTTAAGTGTTTATTCACACATTTCTCATAAATGTAAACAAAGACAAGACATTTTAAAGAGAGCTCATTAGAATTTATTAAAATTCTACCAGCTTACCCAAAAAAGGCAAATAACAGAAATATTTACAGTTCTATTTTTTTTTTTCCTTTTTAAAACTCTACAATATTTCTGAGGCCGATGCCCTGCTGCTCTTCTAGCAGTACCTAAAGATTTCAGTCAGTGCATGTTAGACATTTCTGATGGAGCAGAAGCTACAAGCCCTTCATTACCCTACAGAAGTTAGTCAAGCGCCTCCCAGTGGCCTGGATGAACCACAACAGTCATTCTACACGACAGTGGAAGCGTTTCCGTGCATCCAGTCCTCGTCTCACCATCTCCCTTCATTCAGATCTGGAATACTGTTATCATGGATACTGATAGTGCCTTCTGGAAATCCTGAGGTACAAATACTGTCATTC